TCAATAATACAGCATCATGGAAAGAGATGAAAGTGGGATGTGGAGCTAGTGTTTTTCATCGAATCCTTCAGAGGGTATGAGAAAGACCTTTCAGAAAAAGATTTGATGACGTGGTTAGAAGAAAATGATGGTGATCCTGGTTACCAGGATCACCATCATATACCTTTGAAGAGTTTTTAGAATTTCACTACTTCCAGAGCCCGGCCATAGGCCAGGGCTCATCTGGTGCTTGCCTGGTCAACCAGTCTGTTGTTGCTGGAGGCCCACTGCCCCAGATATCCATCACAGCCTGGTTGATCTGGCACCTTGTGAAAATACTTGTCCAGTTTCCTCTTGAAGGCTTCTACACTTATTCCAGTCATGTTTCTGATATCTTTTGGTAAGATGTTGAATAATATGGTATCCCAGATGTTGATACAGTGTTCCCTTGTCCCCACCTCACCCCTGCTCCTCACTGGGTTTATTTTGCACTTCCTCCCATAGATTTTCACTCAAGTATGTTGTTATGGCAATGTGCAGATTTGGGACCAGGCCCTCAAGTATTTTCCAGGTATAATATACGTATATTATCACGTATCTCTCTCTCCTCCACCCCAGTGAGTACGTGTTCGAGACTTGAAGAGGTTCTTGGTACCAGCAGAACAGGTAGAGATGACAAAGAAAAAGAAGAGACTGAGGGGTTGCCAAAATTGTCAACTGTTCGAGATGCAGTTATTATTTTCCATTAGTACACTGGCCTTTAAGACAAGAGAGAAGTGCAGGCCCATCATCCAAACTTTCAAGTTATAAGCAAATTTATCATAAGGGAGCCACATCAACATGGCAAACAACTGAAGTAAGATGCATTTTTAAACCTATTTCTCATTCTAAGTTTCCCAAACCATCTGCAAATAGCTCTCATTTATCTCCACACCCATCTATGTCTGAGTCACCAGTCAGCATTTGTATATCTCATCTATCCATCACAAGGCTGAGTAAATTATTGTACATGTACAATACCTTGAACTCATTTATTTTCAATTATTTTAAACTGTGTGAACAATGCTGTATCTGGTAGTGACTGGTTACAGAATTGTTCATTATTGTTGGTGTATCCCATAGTAAATAAATAACAAAAAGGCACAATACCGTGACTGGAACAATACACAAATAACCCGCACATAAAAGAGAGAAGCTTACGACGACGTTTCGGTCCGACTTGGACCAAGGAGTGTGACTTTGTCAGTGGTCCAAGTCGGACCGAAACGTCGTCGTAAGCTTCTCTCTTTTATGTGCGGGTTATTTGTGTATTATCCCGTAGTGTCTGGGACTAAGGGATGAAGTCTGTCAGATAAAACATTGGTGTTGTTACTGTGTTGAGTATCATCTGAAATGATGGACAAAGTTCATTGTTCATATGAATGTCTATTAAAAATATGTTCATGGAAAATAAATCTTGTCATTGGGATTTAACAAACAATCGGAGTTAATGGACAATTCCCCCCTCTCCCCTGTTAGCTCATTAAACTGAGGTTTCACTGGCCTTTGTTTATAGCACAACCCAGTACTGCAGACTTACAACACAAGTACTGGAGAATGTTAAACTACTGATGAAGTATGTGCTGCTTTTTGCAGTACTTATGAAGCATGTGCTGTTTTCTACACTATTGATGAAGTATGTGCTGCTAGCTACAATATTAAGCATGTACAACTTCTACACTACTGATGAAGCATGTGACATTATTTATGCTACTGGTAAGACATGCAATGTTTTAATATTGACAAAGCATATGGCATTATTTATGCTACTGATGAATCATTATTATTATTATTAGCAGACTGCTTCCAATAGTTTGTCCAGTTTAAGAGTTGTTTCCTCCTTTTTATATGTTCAAGTACTTCAAGAAGTTATCTGGGTTTACATTGTCCAACTTGTTCAGTATCTTAATGTTTATGAGATCAGACCTGTTATCCCTCATTTGAGGAGCTGCCGGTCCAATAACTCTTGACTCATTTATTTCCAGGACAATTTTTGATACTGTGCTGAAATTTTTCTAGTGATGATATAGCTTTCTGTTGATGCCATCACCTGCTTAAATAGTTACAGTGGTGGCACCAGAGGGATTTGTAAAGTTCAATGACAGTTTTCTTGTTCCTTTTGCTGAAATGTTATGCCTAACTAATTTTTCTTGTTTACATGGTAACTAATTCATCTAGTTGCAGTTGCAAGGGTTGAGTCTCAAATCCTGGTCAATGCTCATCACAGTTCACTCATTTCTAGTCTTGTGAGCCTTTCATATATATTCCTAAACCCTTATATGGAGTATGACTTCAACACATTTTTTAGCCAGATCATTCCCAAAGGTCTGGTTATATTTTATTATGTGGTTGTACATGAATGGTATACAATACTGACAAGATACCCAGATACTGCATGTGTGTCTAATTTCTCATATTTTATTATCAGAGAAATAGAGTAAATCTTTTATTTTTCTGTGAATAAGAATTCAAAATAAACAACAAGTGTAATATAGGAGAAGCCTGGGGACATGACTAATGAACAGAGGAAATGTTACTTTAGTGCCAGGAATGTCTACTTTGTTTATTATGGACTCTATTTTTAAATTAGTATTTTTTTAATTTTGTGTAAAATTGGCCAAATTATCAAATTCTTATCACTTTATAAGGTAGCTGACACGACTGAATGGGCAGTTTCTTGTCCTCAGTCGATAGAATGGCAGGCATACTAGTGAAATAGCTAAGAATTTGGTCAACTGGAAAAATGGAATTGGCTTAAAAAAGGACTTAAATTGGATGAAATCGTTGGTGCGTAAATTTCTCCGAGACCGCTAACCTGCATAATTCCGTAAGTTTCCATCAAATTTCATACTTCTTGTGTCATTACCTTCAGAAAAAGATTCTCTACTATTTCAGAAGATTTTTTTTTTTTTTTTTTTTAATTTTCGGACTGTTTCATTTTGGGGTCTAGACAGTGAAAGGGTTGCTAACCACAATTCACCCGCAGCAGCATGAACCATGCCAGGTATGATTCCCATGAAGATGTAATGCTGAACACTTGCAGCTTTCAGTTCTTGAAGATCCAAGTGTAGTCTGTGTGCTCCCTTTGCTGGTTTAGCAGCTGTTATACTTTAAGCCAGGGTTAATGCCTGCTGCTCCACACACATGTGAAACACTTCCTTAGCTCATCTGCCAACTGCTACAGAGATTCTATCTGTTGAGACACTGTGTCAGTCTGTTAATCTGTCAGAGTATCAGCCTGCTGCTGCTCTTCACTTCTTGCTATCTATCTGCTTCAGCATACCCATTTACTGAGTTAGAAATATCTGCGTTAGATTCTTTAAAGGCTAACTAGTACATTGGCATTCGGTGTGCTCTCTTCATTTGGACATTGCTGTCACTAATTGTATTCAGGTGTCAAAATTAATTTAATATATGAATAAGGTTTGAAAAATACAGCATTGCAAATCAGTCTAGGTTTATTTGACATGAATTATGGTTTGGTTGATAATCACAATGTAAAGTATTTCATAATTAGCAGCAGAAATCTTTGACAGTGCCTAATCTGGCACCTTCCTCACTTGATGTATTGCCCAATTCTACTTTTCCTTAGTTAATTCTTGCCTGTTATATATATACTATGCTAATTATTAGTACTGCAAGAGTAATGTCATAGTTAAGAAAATGAAGCAGATCACAAATGGTGTAACAGTAATCAAAGAATCATCACTGGGAAAAAAGGGTAACCATTTTGATTCATGTTACTGAATCTGCTAAGGAAACATCCAGAACCTCAAACAAAAAACAAAATCAAACAAACTAAGTAGTTTCCAACTAAGTTAGTTTCCTGCTTTCCCCCCTTGTCATAATGGGTTTAGTGGTGATAGAATTGGAGGATGAATACACTCGATGGATGTCTAGGCAGCGTATATTAAGATGGTAAACAAGGAGAACACCAGACCTAACCTGTCTCCTCTGCTAACCTGTCTTGAACTGATGCCCAGTGCCTGGAGGGCATTCAAAGAGCTCATACATCATGCTGGGTCAGCATGAGTCACATAACAGTCAGTGAATTCACGTAGGGAGACAGTGAATCAGTAACAGTTATTGGTAAGATACAAATACTACTACTGATAGCTCGGCCATGTACGTGAATTCACTGACCGTTATGCGACTCATGCTGACCCAGCATAATGTATGAGCTCTTTGAATGCCCTCTGGGCACTGGGCATCAGTTCAAGACAGATTAGCAGAGGAGACAGGTCAGGCCTGGTGTTCTTATTTACCATCTTAATATATGCTACCTAGACATCCATCGAGTGTATTCATTCTTCAATTATATTACCACCGAACCCATTACGACAAACTGGTGGCAGCGGTGGGATAGAATTGGAGACTGAATACACTCGATGGATGTCTAGGTAGCGTATATAAAGATGGTAAATAAGGAGAACACCAGGCCTGACCTGTCTCCTCTGCTAACCTGTCTAGAACTGACGCACAGTGCCCGGAGGGCATTCAAAGAGCTCATTTGTCATGCTGGGTCAGCATGAGTCATATAACGGTCAGTGAATTCATGTAGGAAGACAGTGAATCAGTAATGGTTATTGGTAAGATACAAATACTACTACTGACACCCTTCCCCCTCTTTATGTAATGCGATACGAAGTGTGTACTGTACCATATTATTCACTCACATAGTCTTGCCAGTCAGATGATCTACTAGCATGCTGTACATGCACAATCTACCAAAGCATATCTACTAATAATTAAGGAAGCACAGCTGGCATCTAAGTAATCATTAGCAAGTAGACATAACAGTGCAAGATTGGGAGAAAAGCACAGAAACAGCAAGGCGTATTATAATTACAATATATTTGTACAACAATCAACAGACACTTTCAAATAATAATTCAGCTTCATGCACAAAGTGATGAGTTCTACAATAGCAGAGGATGTTTTCATTTCTTAGGCCAGCAACCCATCACAAGAGATGTGCCTACCTTGTCCCGCACTGCACGCAGCCCTCCATCAGACGACTTCTTGTTCTTATGATGACGCTCAGGACTGCTGCCACCATAATCATCCTCACTGTGCTCTGTAAGACTGATCTTGGGAACAGGCTTGGTAATGGAAGGTGGACTTTGGTGACTTCTGGTAGGGCTAGCTGTAGTGGATGAAGCTTCACTGGAAGTCTCATTTCTAGGCCGGGGCCGTGCCATCGACAGAGCACTAGCAATGATCCTAGCGCCAGTTCTTCTTGATCTGGTTGAAGAATGAACTGGACTTGCAAAAGCTGGAGTGGCAGAACCACTGAAGGTGCCACTGCGATCTTCAGGCACTGGATCCCTCTTACTGTCAATAACAGCTGACTCACTAGCCCTTCTTCCATTAGTGAGTGTTGGCACTGCTGAGGTAACACTCACACCATTGCTGGCATATGACACACTATGTGATGGCTCACAAGAAGCTCGCACATCCTCTTCCTGTTAAAATTACAGATTCAGTAAAAAAAATTTGCTCCAAAAAATATAGTTTAGAAACTCTTAGCTTATAGTAACTTTTAAAAAAAAAATTTATTTCATATGCTCATAATATCATGCAATGTTACAACTGGCAGATAAGGTGAGCTTCTTCAAGACCCTTGTGCAACAGGTGGGTATCTTTATCATTGAAACTATGAAGTGAACACATACCAAGGCTGAGAGACTGACCACCTTAAACTTACTTCTTCAAGGCTGAGGGACTGACCACCTCAAACTTATTTCTTCAATACTGAGGGACTGATCACCTCATATCCATCTCTCCACCACTACTAATGTGTCTACCTTTTATATCACATACTGTAAACATCTAAATGCTATCCTCATGTTTGTAAGCTTAGCATGTTCTGCTATGCTCTAGTTCTGTGCTTCAGGATGTAGGTTTTGGGTAATAAAGTAAATCTTTCAGTAATAAAGATACCCAACTATAGCATAATGTCTTATTCATCTAGGTATTTCTATACCCACTAAGAAGGTTAACATGGGTCCCACTGCAACCATAAATTCAGGCTTTTACAGACAAATCTCACTTCAGCATAGCCGCAAAGAGCTCTAGCTCAGGTCACTTCAAATCTATTATGAACTGACTAGCTTGTCTTGGATTCAACCTACTCCATTCAGTGAGTTATTTAAAATTGTTATTACAATTTCGTGAGTTATACCTTAGAGAAAGTTAGATTTTCAAATGAAGTGGGATAGCTCTTAGCTTGTAAATTGAATGATTTAAAAAATACTTCATCATTTTCAAAGTTACTTTTTTTATAGTACTGTAGTGGTAACTAACATTTTACTTGTTGTCAGATAAATTAAACAGTACCAGTATGACTTTATTACACTGGCTTTACCTCCAATGAGGGTGGAGTGTTTGGTAAGACAACTCCGGAGTCTTCCTCGAGTGATACAGTTATCATATCATCCTCAGTGTGGTCCATCACACAATCTTCTCCCTTCAGTGTTTCATCTTCAGCTGTTAAAGAACTGTCTACAACTCTCATTGTAGCCTGTGATGGTTTTATCTGGTGCTGCAGGGAAATTATATAGAACAAATGATTCTTCATAATGCAAAGCACAATAAAACAAATGGGTTGAAACACAGCAGACATATGGGTAAACAAATCATAAAAATATCTTACAGTGGAAAATAGCCTGCAGATAATTCTCGAATTCTCATATTAGACTAATACATACATAAGAGTGAAAATTTTAGAAAAAAAAAATTTGAGAGGTTTTTCAAGAATGTCTCAATTACAGGATGAAATTAGCCCTTAAACCAGGTCAAACAGTTTTGTCTGAGCATCTTAGATAGGGGTGACTGGAGACAAGTAGGTTTTAATGAACAAGCTGCTGGAGTGTGAGAAAGGTAACTTTTATGAAGGGATTCAGAAAAACTAGTTAACTGGACTTGAATTTTGGAGGTGGGAAGTGCAATACCTGCACTCTGAACTATGATGTCAGCAGGCTTTTGGCAAGACAGTGAATAAATGACCATGAAAGCATTTCCTCTTTTTCAGGTCACCCTACCTTAGTGGAAGACAGTTGGTGTGTAGAAATTTTTTTTTTTCTTCTCTATTTCATACACTGGTCATGTCCCACCAAGGTAGTGTGACCCAAAAACTGGAAACACATTCACTGTCATTCATTCATTGGCTGCCTTGCCAGAAGTGTGCAGGCATCACAAAATATAAAAATAAACAATAAAATAAAATAAAACTGTATTTCTTTGCTAAGGTTACAATGAGTGTTTACATTCCATAATTTGATTGGTACAAAGAAAGCCACTATCATGCAGACATTTCAGAGTGGAGGCATTATACTTCTTACTTTCAGGACTCTAAATCTAGCTTAACAGGTTTCCCTGAATCAATTTATAAATATTACCTTGCTCACACTCCAACAGCACATTAGCCATTCACCACTGCTACCTGTGTTGTTATACAGAGGATCTTCTTGATTTGACTCCCTCAAATATACAGCCTCTCCTCACTTAGTGATGTACTGTACTTGTTTACCAATGGCTTGGGCTTATGATGGGCTCTCTGACCAGTATGCATACCTAAATAATATATATTACAGCAGATTTCCTCTATTCTATTTATTACAATATACAGTACACTACTGTATAAACATTTAAAAATATACTAAAAATGTTGTAAATGGTGAAAGGTGACATTAAAACAATATCAAAGATGGTTGACACAAACCCACTATCATTATAGTATGTTTCTTGCTTAGCAATGAATTCGTTTACCGACGTGGTCTTAGGAACGAAACTCCATTGTTAAGTGAGGAGAGGCTGTATTATTTTGCCTTGCCATGGTATCAAACATATTTCACTCTCATATACAGTATTCACATAAAGCCCTACAAGGGCAAGGATTATTTTCAAGGTAAAACAAAGTCATACATAACCACAGAAGTTGTTTGATGAACTTAAAACCAAATATCCTAGGAAATTAGAGTGTGCTGTAGCTTTTGCGTGTATTTAAGTCGGGCATAGTTTAACCCTTTCAGAGTCAGTGCTGTAGATCTACGGCTTTACGTTGAGGGTCCAAACCGTAGATCTATGCCATGAGCTCAGCTCACTCTGATAAGCTGTGAGCGGTAAATTTGGGCTATATATGAGAGAATACATCTATGTGGTATGTGTGCACCACATAAAACAAATCCTGCAGCACACAGTGCATAATGAGAGAAAAAACTGAGACTGTAATTTTTTATTAAAACAGCAACTTTGCAGTGTTTCTACGTATGTTTTTATGGTTATATTTGCAATTTCTTGGTCTTATTTGATAGAATGAAAGATATATTACAGAAATAGAGATGATTTTGATTGGTTTTAATACTGAAAATGGCTTGAAACTGAGCTCAAAGTAGCGGAAATGTTAAATTTTTGTCAACGTTCAAGAGTAATCAAATGACATCACACATCTAATACATGCCAATTGGTGGGTCTAATATATGTTCACAAATGTGCTGATATTATTTATACAATTATTACAAGATCGCATGACATTAAATCTTCTATTTATTGGTTTGAATAAAAATTCATTATGTGAATTAAAAATCAAAATGGAATTCATTTGTAAAGCCTGAAAATGTAACTAATGAACAGAGGAAATGTTAGTTTAGTGCCAAGAATGCCTGCATTGTTTATTCTGGACCTTATTTTGAAATTGGAATATTTTGAACTTTGCACTAAATTGGCCAAATTACCAATTTCCAATCACTTTATTTTGTAGTTGAAACAGATAAGTTGGAGATTTCTTGTGCTCAATCGATAGAATAGAAGAAATACTAGTGAAATAGCTAAGAATTTGGCCAACTAGAATAAGGTAATTAGCCTAAAATGGGAGTCAAAGTCGGCAAAATTGCCAATGCGTAAATATCGCTGACACATCAAAATTTGCGTGCGCATAATTTCGTCAATTTTCCATCAAATTTTGTACTTTTTGTTTTATTACCTTCAGAAAAAGATTTTCTACCATTTCATAAGAAAAAAATAACAAAATTATTTTTTGAAAATTCTTGGACACTGGTGTGCACTTTGAAATTTGGCCTCTGGACCCTGAAAGGGTTAAGGGTTTACAGGAAGAGTATGTTGGAATAAGAATTTTTTCAAAGTATAAACATCCCCAATTATATAATAGGAGTCACAGAAAACTGCACTTGCTTAATTTTAATTAATTTATAACATATTTTCATGAAAGGCATTTCCGTCACTAAGGTTACGTACCTCTATGCATTAAGTATTGAACAGTGTACATGAAGTACTTCCAATCACTACTCAGATAAACATTATTTTTATATAAAATAAAGCCTACCACCTATGTAAAAGCAATATATAATATTCTGTATATAAATGCATGCTCTTATTTCAAAAATTTGAATCTATGTAAGGGAGAATCTGATATCCCTTAATAATCAGATCTATTCATAACTGGGTTGCTGCTAATGATTGATTTTCTGTGTATTAATTTATAAGAGTATAATAGAAGAGGTCTCCATGGGGAAGTGGAGAAGAATTCTTCCTCTGTAAGCCATGCGTGTCATAAGAGGCGACTAAAATGTTGGCAGCAAGGGGCTAGTAACCCCTTCTCCCGTATAAGTTACTAATTTTTTAGGTCACCCTGCCTCAGTGGGGTGCTGTCAGTTATAAATAAAAAAAAAAAAGGTGGTCTTCTGGCTGCTATCAAGTGTAAAATGACCAGTATAAAAGATATGACGATTGTCTTGAGGTAGCAAGATAGACTACAAGAGGCACACCTTAAGTGCCACTTCCTCCCTTACCGAACAGATTTACACATAAAAGCACATACAGGTGCTATTCTAGTACACAGATAAAAGTGAGAAATTAGGAGTGTGCCAAAGTATCAGTGGTCATTGGCTAATTTTGATGGTAATAGTTTTTTTTTTTTTTTTTGTTTTTCAACAAGTCGGCCATCTCCCACCGAGGCAGGGTGACCCAAAAAAGAAAGAAAATCCCCAAAAAGAAAATTCTTTCATCATCATTCAACACTTTCACCACACTCGCACATTATCACTGTTTTTGCAGAGGTGCTCAGAATACAACAGTTTAGAAGCATACACATATAAAGATACACAGCATATCCCTCCAAACTGCCAATATCCCAAACCCCTCCTTTAAAGTGCAGGCATTGTACTTCCCATTTCCAGGACTCAAGTCCGACTATATGAAAATAACCGGTTTCCCTGAAATCCCTTCACTAAATATTACCCTGCTCACACTCCAACAGATCGTCAGGTCCCAAGTACCATTCATCTCCATTCACTCCTATCTAACACGCTCACGCACGTTTGCTGGAAGTCCAAGCCCCTTGCCCACAAAACCTCCTTTACCCCCTCTCTCCAACCCTTTCGAGGACAACCCCTACCCCGCATTCCTTCCCCTATAGATTTATATGCTTTCCATGTCATTCTACTTTGATCCATTCTCTCTAAATGACCAAACCACCTCAACAACCCCTCTTCTGCCCTCTGACTAATACTTTTATTAACTCCACACCTTTTCCTAATTTCCACACTCCGAATTTTCTGCATAATATTTACACCACACATTGCCCTCAAACAGGATATCTCCACTGCCTTCAACTGTCTCCTCGCTGCTGCATTTACCACCCAAGCTTCACACCCATATAAGAGTATTGGTACTACTATACTTTCATACATTCCCTTCTTTGCCTCCATAGATAACGTTTTTTGACTCCACATATACCTCAACGCACCACTCACCTAAAATTGAGTCTGTATCAGTGTGTTGGCTAATTTTCAAGGTATTAGAATCAGAGGGTATTGGCTAATTTTGATGGTATCAGTACTGGCATTGGATTAAAATTAATTATAGTATTGGCAAAAATTTTGTCATTCTATCCCTAGTAAAAATAAATAGAATGTGCAATCCTGATTCCATATAGCATATTACTCAACAGCCATACATTATTATGATGGTATCAAATTTATTGTATGCCATGACTGAAAATTTCAAAAAGGATTCTCTCATTTGGAAAAATTTCCATCCTTTTCCTAGCCTGGTTGAAATCTTAAATAAAATTCGGATCTGTGTTTTACCCTTATTTTAAAAAAAAAACTATTTTAGTCAGTCAAATTTAATTAAAACATCTTTAATCTAAATTTTAAACAATCTGAAAATTGTAGCCCACTTAATATTAGTCCAAATCAGAGGGATAAATTAATGTGATACTAAGATAATTACAGTACATAGAGTGTCTTCTAATACAATATAGCAAACTACATAATTTAGGGAATGATGAATGTACAGCTCAAAAAATCTAGATAAAAAACTGCTGATACCACAAATGATGGGGTGAGCTAAATCAAAGGGAAATTTTATGAAACATTCAAACATCTGCCTGTAAGCACCTGGAAGAAATCAATACAGTGGACCCCCGCATAACGATTACCTCCGAATGCGACCAATTATGTAAGTGTATTTATGTAAGTGCATTTGTACTTGTATGTTTGGGGGTCTGAAATGAACTAATCT